AATTCAAGGAAATCAACATTATTGCTGTTTAATAACAAAACTAGAATTTGAAACTATATTAACTATATTGAGGGCTCTTTCTTAAATTTCAAATTAAATTTTCAAGTCATACGCGCGCATACTTTCATTGTCGCAGTTATGGTACTTTTTAATTTTTAACCAACAATATTGTATGCTTTGAGTTGCCTTTTGAAGCAGAAATTTATTTATAATATGCGGAAGCACATGCATTGCATTCAAATCAAGTCTTTTAGTTTGTGGTTACTTTGTTAACCTCTAAGATCATTATAAACTTAACTTGTTGCGAGAAAGTGTATAATGAACAGTGGCAAGAATTTTTGCACTCCACTCTGAAATTGGTCGAAAAAAAAAGTGTTTTGCTTAAAAAACACACTAAAAATATTCGTAAAGCACTTTACGTCTTAGAATTTTTTTTAGCGAAAATTCAACCCATTTTTAGCAAAAGTAAAAATTAAATTTTTTTTTTCAGTTCAGAATTATTTAAATTAACTATCATAATCTTCGTATTTCATTCTTTCATTCTGTCTGTCCACACTTTGAAGTTAATTTTTTTTCCTTTAAAAAATATTGTTTAACAAATCGAAAGTATGCAGATATTTTTTCATGATTTATAATAAAATAATATTACAAATTAGAAAATTAAAAAAAAATTATGATTAACAAATGAAAAAAATACCCATTTTGTTTGTTATATGCTTTTTTTACAACAAATTTTGTTTGATCTAAATTATTATGCCAATTATTCTCCTTTTTATAATTATAAAAAAACTAGAAAATTGTTAATTGTTAAAAAATTTTGATTAAGAAGTAGGAAACATACCCACTTTATGCATAATTTTTATTTCTCAATAACAATATATTGTTGACAAACTCATTTTTTTCTTTTGGGAAGAAAAACATTAGATATTCCCGTTTCTTAATATTTTTGTATAGAAAATTCTCAATTTTCACAAGAAAATAATTTACATCAATTCCATTTCTTAAAATCAATTGTTTTAATAAAATTCAAAGTTTTTTAAAAATAGAGGAAAAAAATGTTTATAAATTATATTTGTCAATTAGAAAATTTAATTGAAAATGAAACTGAAAATTTTTGAATTTTTAGAAAATAAAGGAAAAAATTTAATTAAAAAAAATGTTCTGTTAAATTTATTTACGAATATCTTTAATTGTGAAATTATTCAAAAACAATAATTTCTTTTTTAAATATTTTAAATATTTAATTATTATTATTTTTCCGTAGGAATTAAAATTCTTCAAAACATTCAAATTCAAATCTTTTTAAAATTAATCAAGTTTAAAAATATTGTTATAAAAGATGAAGAAATCAATTTCTTCATGTTTTATAATAATTATTAAAGATGACCGAGTGATAAAATCATTATTAATTCAAATATTATTTTCAAGAATATTTAACTGAAATTCTATTTTAAATCGATTATTTTTAATAATTATTGTAAAAGTTCTTTGATAATTTTCAAATTCATTTGTTTACAATATTCATTCAATTTTACCAAATTTCAATTATTCGTAAATTCTTCAATTAAATATTTATTAGAAAATAAAAACTTAAAATAATATAAAAAAAATCCAATTAAACTTTTTCAAAATTTAATTATTTTTAAAAATTTATACGTTTATAATGCTTTTAATATTCAATTAATATCTAATATTTTCACTGAAATTCATTTTTAAATCAATTTTTATTAGAAAATTTTACTAAAATTCAATTATTTAAATACAAAAATAAATAATATATTGAATAATTGAATGTTTCTTACCATTTAATTCTTATAAAGAATTTTATCAAAAAGTTTTTAAATAATTGAATTCTTTCGTCGAATTTTAATAAAATTTTAAAGAATAATTACATTTTTTTAACATATTAATCCAATTATTATTTTCAAGAATTTTTAACTAAAATTCTTCTTTGTTCTTTCAATCAATTATTTTTAATAATTTTCAAAAAGTTCTTTGATTATTTTCAAAAAAATAAATTTCAAAATTCAAATTTTTACGAAAAATATCATTAAAAATTTTGAAAATAATTAAATTCTTTCTAGAAAAACAAATTATTTATTAAATAATTGAATGTTTCTTAAAATTAAATTCTTTTTACGAATTTTAATAAAATTTTTTTAGAATAGTAACATTTTTCGAGAAATTCGATTAAAATTTTATTAAAAATAATTGAAATTCTGCGATGAGTTTTATTATTTCTGAAAATAATTGAATTATTGAGGAGAAACTTTTAAAAAATTTGTAAATATTTGAATTCCTGTGAAATTTTTATTATTTATGAAAATAATATTAAACGTTTGCGTACAATTTTATTAAAATTGTTTTTTTAAATAATTAAATTCTTTTGGGTAATTTTATTGAATATATAATAGATATTAAAAATAATTGAATTTTGAGAAAGAATTTTTTTATTTATAAAGATAATGATTGGGATTTTGTCGAGATTTTTTTTTGTAAATTTTGAACATAATTGAATTTTGTGATAAGAATTTTATTACTTTTGAAAATAATTGAATTTCTACAATAATTTGTAACTTCTTCAAAATTCATTTTTTTAGTGTTTTTAACTAAAATTCTTCTTTAAATCCATTATTTTTAATAAAATTAATTAAACATATATTGAAAAATTTAACTAATTTTAGAAGATTTGTTCATTAAAATTTCTAATTAAATTCATTCAACATTGAAATTTTATAAAATTTCAAATTGAAACCGTTTGAAGTTCATTTATTTGTTCGAAAATTGTTAAGGCAACTCTTTTAAAATTAAATTAATTTTGAAATATTTATGTAAAATTATTCATTAAATAATTTTTGTCAGAAATTGAAAAAATTGAAGATTTTGTATTTTTAGAATAAATTCTTGACTTTTCCCTAAATTCCCTATGTCAGAATACATGATTATTATAATTATAATAATATTGAAACTATACATTCCAATTCGTATTTTATTTTTATTAAAAAAAAATTTGGAATTTAACATTTTTACGTTCTATTATTTTTTAAATTGCTAATTTTATTAAAAAAAATTGAGTGAAAAATTAGCCGCGAACGTAAGCGGGGGAATGGTTGCTAGTTTTTTTTTAAAATATTATTTATAATCAATAATTTAAAAATATTCAAGTTTTTGAAAATATGTGAACGATTCTCAAGATTTTACTAATAATTATAATTATAAAATCTGAATTAGTTAAAAATAATTATTTTTAATAATTATTAATAATTATTTTAAATAATTATTAATAATTATTTTAAATAATTAATAATAATTATTTTAATAATTTAAAAATTTAGTAATTATTTGAATTAATAATTATTTTTAACTAATTCAGATTTAGAAAGATCAGTTAGGAAGAATTGTAATAGATTACGAAACAATTAAAACTTTTAGTTAATATCAATTAGAAGAATTCATTATTTATAAGTTTACATGAAAGTCCACGCACACAATGACCTCAATTATCAAATAAAAGAAATGTAAGATGAAGACGATAATTACGAGAATTACTATAAATTACAAAATAGCCTGTTATCTTAACTTCAAACAGAAAAAAAGAAAAAAAAACGACTAATTATGAAATCACTTTCGTTATCATTATACACATTGGAATATATAAATTTATATAATAAGGTACCCAATATATATATATATGTATATGAAAGTTTCACAATATTTAAATCTTGTCAAAATATCCTCTTTCCTATACCCATAATTCAAACTGGTTTCTATAAGGAAATGCGTGCCCTCATTTTTTATGCGTATATTTACAATATTTTCCCAAAAAGAATAAGAAAAAAAAGAAAGTTTTTCTGAGTGAAATTATATACCTACATAAAAAAAAGAAAAAATGAAAAAGTTTTAAGTTTTCATTTCGAAATTCTATAGTCAGTTTCGTTATATTATAATAATCGACTTAATTAAGAGAGAAGAGTTAATTTACAATTTTGTTAATTGTTTTTTTTTTATTAATTTACATTTTGAAAATTATTGAAAATTGTTTTATGACCGTTGGGCAAGAATATATTAATACTATTAATAGTCGAATTAATTTTATAGACGCAAAAATGTTGGAAATAAAAGAAAAGTGATGAAAGAGAAGCACTGTAGCAACTTTTAAGTAGTATAAGTCTCGTTACGTCAGACAAGCGTCGCGTCAGTAGTACGAGTCAAATAAGTTCCTGTCTTCTGTAATAATCGTAATTTATTTCCAATTTACTTGCACTTTTATTTATCTTGATAAAGAGCAAATATTTAACTAATTGTTTTTTATTTAATTTTAATTTAATTAATTTTAATTTTAATTGCAGTCTTCATTTAGAATTTTATTTTAATTCTCTTCTCTCTGAATTTTTCTACCTTTTTCCAACTCTCTAAATTTGAATTTATTTGATTTATTTTTGCTTACGAATTAGTAAATTTTACTAATAAATTCGGTATTTTTTCAAGGACCTTAATTTTTGTCAAATACTGTTTTTTAATTGTGGCCTTAGGCTCAATAAATTAGTCTAATAAATTAGTAGAAACTATTATATTTATTAGTAAAATTGCTAATTTATAAGATTTACTAATAAATTAGTAGAAATTATTATTTATTGCTAATTTTATTAATTAATAAATTTTATAATTAACAAATTGCTAATTTTGTAAAATTTACTAATAAATTAGTAGAAATTAATATTTTTTAGTAAAATTACTAACTAATTACTAATTTACTAATTCAAAAGCAAAAAGTCAGTCGTTGAGTCAAATTAGTAAACACTTTTTTACTAATTAAAATTTAGAGAGTAAAGATCTCAATATAAAATAAGTTTTGGTTTTAATATTGTAAATTGTAAATTGAAAATTGAAAATTAAAATCATCAGAAGAACTTTACGATGGATAAGAATGTCTTTTTAATTGATTTTAAATATTTTTGCGCCTGTGAACTTGTTTATTAAGAGAAAATTTTTAATTTCAGAAACAATCATGTTCGCGAAGTCACAGGTTTGGTGTCGCACGAGCAATGAGTTCAATGCAAACACAACAACCAGGATCATTGCCAGATTACCAAGTCGATCCTTACCAGCTACTCGATGACGATCTCAAATTAATTTACCAAGACATACGACAGGTGAGTGATTTAAAATTCATTTTTTTAATATCACATTTAAAAAAACAAATTTTTGAGTTTAAAAAAAAAATATTTATTTATATAAGTGAAGCTAAAAAATTTAGAAAATTTAGCTGTTTTAGATCATTTTTAGCTAATTTTTAACTACCTTAGTTAATTTTAATCACTATTATAAATTATAATTAAATTACATAGATAGTAATTATTTGCCGAGAAATATTTCCTGTAACAATGAATATTAAATTTTCGAAAAAATTCAAAAAATGTTTTAAATAATAAAAAGTATTATTTTCATTTGCCTAAGGAATAAGATTAAAATAAATTCAAAAAAAAAAATATATTTCATTTCAGTGTTATTGACTAATTATTATCGTTAAAAAAATACTCGTCCCTCAAAACAAATAATTTAATACAATAAAATTTACCGTTAAAAACACAGTAAATTTTAATTATAGAAATTAACTTTCTAAATTTCAGTTTTGTGAAAAGTCCACTAATTTATATTAATAAAAACTTTTACTAATTTCTTGTAATTATTCCACTAGATAAATAAAATTTGAATAAAATTTCTACAATTTGAATTAAAAATTTTTAAACTACTGTATAGATATAAAAGTAGCTGAATTTTTGAAAAAATTTTAATAATTTGAAGTAGTTGAGGACTTTTCACTTTTAGAAAGAATAACATTATAAAAATTCAACATTAAAATATAATAAAGAACAAGTCGAGTAATTAAATTAGAATATTTCAATAAATAAAAAAAAATTAATAATAGGTATAAAGAACGTGGGTGAAATTCACAATGTTTATTATCCAACAGCGATTGGAAAAAAAATTGTTTTACTCCAAAAAGAATATTTTTTGTTCACAAATTATTAGTTTTTGCATTTTTAATAAATAATTATTGTTACAAATAGTTTTTAGCCAAAAATTTGAGTAGAAAAATATTTTTTCTTCTTCATAAGAATAATCATTAAATTATTAATAATAATTATTAAATTATTAATAATAATTAAAAAAATTTTAGTCTATTATTAATTTTTAGTCACTAAGCGTAAGCTGTTTTTTCTCTTTCCTCTTCATTAAAAAAGAAAAAAAAATAGCCAACTACAGATGATGAAGACTATTTGTTCTATTCTCTCTTTCTTGATATTATATGTTTTATTAAATAAACAAAAAGCGCGTGAGAACAAATATTTCTAGAGAAATTTCTATCTTCTCACTAAAAAGTGTTGTAACATGCGTCACCTTAAAGAGACAAAATTCAAATTACGCTATAGCTTTATGAATTATTAATGAAATTCTATTCTTAAGTGACATCCAACGAAACTTCATGACTCCAGGAGACAGTATACAATTATTTACTTGATATTGTAAAAAAAATGCGTGTACGAATTTTTGTGCAAAAAAAAAGGAAAAGAAGAAAAAAATTTCTGAATTTCTTAGAAATTTTTAATTATTTCATTTATTAATTAAAATCCCTGAAGTTAGCGTCAATAAGTATTTTTTTGCACGAAAAAAGTAAAACCGTTTTCTCGAAGATTCTAGGTCAAAAAAGTATAATTTGGAAAAGTTTTAAACCTAGGTGAATAATAGAGGGAAAATTAGTGATATTTTTAACTCTTTAAATCCGAAAAAAATAGTTTTCGACGCTAACTTCAGAACTGAAAAAATTTATTTGATTCGTTAAGCGATTACTTTTTTATTTTCAAATAAAAATTTACTTGCATCAAATAATTTTAATAAATAATTAAGTCAACTAAGTATTTGACCCAATAATTTTTGTTTTTAATGCAAATTTATTGAAATAAATAAAGAAATAAAGAAATAAAGTAATAAGAAAAAAAAGAAATAAAGAAATAAAGAAATAAAGAAATAAAGAAATAAAGAAATGAAGAAATAAAGAAATAAAGAAATAAAGAAATAAAAAAATAAAGAAATAAAGAAAGAAAGAAAGAAAGAATAAAAGAAAGAAAGAATAAAATAAAGAAAGAATAAAAGAAAGAAAGAAAGAATGAATGAAAGAAAGGAAGAAAGAAAAAATTAAAATGAATAAATTGTTTTAATTTTAAAAAATTTAAATAAAAATTATTTGTTGCAGGTAAATATTTATTTGATAATAGAAAAGTAATCGGTTATAGAATCAAATAAATTTTTTTTGCAACTGAGAGACAATTATTTATTAATTAATTTATTAAATCGTTCCTTTGAAACAATGCGCGGCATACAGAGAAAAAGAAAATAATTTCATCGAACCTTAATTATAATTGACACTATATTTACTCTCGTAAATAAATTAAAAAGAAATAAATTGCAATTTCATGGCACATTTATATTTATTATGAATGATTTTAATTTTTAATTCTTATGATTTATATTCAGTGGAGTCAGAAGAAAATAATTTCTTTCGGCCTGTGTAATAATATTTATGAAAGTCAATAATGAATTACTTTTTTTCGCTGTATACATTGTATGAATTAACAGACATTTATGGTTAATGATGAAGATTTATCATTTTTTTTTTTTTTTTTCTTTTTTTTTCGACGGTAATTGAATTATATATTGAATTTGAATAATTAGACTCGTGAAGAAGTAGAGTATACATGACGTGCGAGAAATATATGTGAAGAATTTTTTTTTATGAGTAAAATGATCAAGTGCGTGGTTTCTCGGACTGGAAGGCGCATTTCGCTTTCGAACGAAAGCCAGAGAAGCGTGGATTCAGCTTCACGGTCTGCATATGGGCGAAAACTTTTACTCACGGTCGTTCAATCCTATACGCGATGCATATACGCATGTAAACGCGTAGAAAGCACCTTGCACTAAGAATTTGTCTCTCTCTATATTTATATATTATATGTTTACGTCGCAATGACTCTGTGTTTTTTTTCATTTTTTCTTTTTTAAACTATTCGCATTTTTTTTTTTTTTTTTTTTTTTGAATCACTCAGAAGGTGTTTAATTACATAAGTTATATTTTTAGAGTAGAATTCCATGGATTATCATTTTGTATATATTATTTTTATATTTTTGGAATGTTTGTATTTTATATTTTTGTACTTAAAGTTTACTCTTTAAATTTGAATTAATTATTATTTGAATCTGTTTTAAATCAGTGACGGAATTTTTGTTTTTGAATCAGTTGACATTTTACTATGATTTAAAATAATTTTCAAATTAAAAAAAAAATGATTTTAAAATAATTTACTAATTTATCAGGGGAAAAATAACGAATTTTATTTTACTTTATCTGCTTCCGAAGCAAAAAATCGAATAATTCACTGATTTATGAATAGAAAATTTTATTTACTAAAAAATCTATAGATTTTAATTGATTCAAGCGAAAAAAATCAAACAATTGACTGATTTATCAGGAGAAAAAATTTGTACAACTATCGCAGTAAATTTAAACAGATTCAAAGAGAAAAAATAAAAAAATTACTGATTTATCAGTAGAAAATTTATTTTACTAAATTTACTAAATTTACTAAATTTACTAAATTTACTAAATTTATTTTTAACTGACTGATTCAAAAATAATAAAACAATTTACTGATTTATCAGGTTAAAATTTCTTTTCACTGACGAACCAGTTAATTTTAACTCATTTAAAAGCAAAAAATGAAGTAATTTACTGATTTATCAATAGAATAATTTATTTACTGACGAATCAGTAAATTTTAAGTGATTTAAGAGGAAAAAATCAAACAATTTACTGATTTATCAGCTGAAAAATTTTTTTTTAACAAATGAATTACTAAATTGTTTTTTATTCAAAAGCACAAAAGTAATTAAAATTTTAGTTTTTAACTGATTTTGATTTAGAGAGTTCAAAAAACTACATATTTTTTTTTCTTCATATTTTAATGATTTGGGTGAAAAAATTTTCGAGTTTAAATAAAAATTTCACTTTTTAATTAAAATAATTACAACTTTTTGAAAATCAATTTTAAAAATATTCGTTAAAATAGTTAAATATTGAGTGAAATATGAAAAACCAACGTTAAGTTAGTGTTAAGTTAGTGACATTAAATTATTGTAGGAGTAATGCTGTACAAGCATTTTGTGAAACTTAATTACAAATACTTGTTTGGAAGGAGAATTTCTCTTTCAAGTGGGAATAATGGAATCACGTTTTTAGCAGATGAATGCAAAGATATGGAAAAAGAAAGAGTAAAGAGGGGAAAAAAAGAAAAAAGATAAAAAGAAAAAATAGAAAAATGAAAAAGGAGAAAAAGAGAAAGAAGACAAGGAGAAAAGAGAGAAATGGAAAAAAAGAAAAGTAGAAAAAAAGAGAAAGGAAAAAAGCGGAAAAGCAGAAAAGATGAAGAATAGTGAAAAGGAGAAAAAAAATAAAAAAGAGAAAAATACCGGAAAGGGAGAAAAATAGAAAAAAGGAGAAAAGCCGGAAAAGAAGAAAAAGAATAGAGAAAATTAAAAGAGAAAAAGAAAAAATCAGAAAAATAGAGATAAGAAGAAAAAGAATAGAGAAAATTAAAAGAGAAAAAGAAAAAATCAGAAAAATAGAGATAAGAAAAAAATAAGTAGAAAAAGAATAGAGAAAAGAAAAAATACAGAAAATGAGAAAATAGAGAAAAGGAGAAAAATAGAGAAAGAAAAAGAACAAGAAAAGGTGAAAAAAGAAAAGGAAAAAGCTGAAAATCGGAAAAAATAAAAAAGTAGAAAAGGAAAAATACCGGAAAGAGAAAAATAGAAAAAAGGAAAAAAGCCGGAAAAGAAGAAAAAGAGAGAAAAGGAGTAAAAAAGAAAAGGAAAAAAGGAGAAAAATAGGGATAAGAAAAAAAATAAGAAGGAAAATAGAGAAAAGAAAAAATACTGAAAATGAAAAAAATAGAGAAAGAAAAAAAACAAGAAATGGGGAAAAAGAGAAAAGGAAAAAAATAAGAAAGGGAGAAAAAGAGAAAAGGAAGAAAAGGAAAAATACCGAAAAGGGAGAAAAATGGAAAAAAGCTGGAAAAGAAGGGAAAGAGAGAAAGGAAAAAACACGAAAGGAGTAAATAAAGAAAGTAAGAGTCGGAAAAAGAGAAAAATAGAGAATAGGAATAAAAACAGAAAAGAGGAAAATAGAGAAACGAAAAAAACAGAAAAGGAGAAAAATAGAAAAAGAAAAATAATAGAGAAAGAGATCAAGTGACAGAAATAGAGGGAGACAGAGAGAAGACTGCGGAAATAAATGTGAGAGAAAAGATTACATGAATGAATAGATATTTGTGGTGCAATTAGTCGAGGCATCTCATATGTATAAAAAAGCAGGCGTTTTCTTTCGCGTTTGGCCGAATTCCAGAGTGGACTTTCAGGCAGTGCTACGACTGGAATTCGAAGTACGACGATTCTCCATATCGTTTCTTCTCCAACTGTTGCAATAAGTGAAACATTGCGTGTGTCACGTACCAGGGCCGTATATACAATCATCGGTTTCAATCCAAATCGTCCGCAATTGAAATAACTTGCTTTTATTAGAAACCAAACTACAAACGCCTGCGCCTCCTTTCCTTTATTCATGTATAAAACTACATCAATGCTGCAGTGACAGTTTTCACTTATCCTTCATATGGCGAGTGATTTTCTTTTATTTCTTTCAATTAATAATAAACATTCATTTCGCAATTTATTGTCAAATTCAGGGCTCGAACTAGGTTCGTAAATCCCGTAAAGGTCCGTAAATTTGCTTCAAGTCCCTAAAAGTCAGTTTTTTTTTAAAAAAAAAAGTCCGTAATTTGATTGAGAAAGGAAGAAAAGTTCATAAATTGTACGATATAATTTGGAAAATTTCAGAGAAATTACAAATTATTGGAGAAATTCAATTATTTTTAAAAGTAATAAAATTCTTCGCTAAAATCCAATTCTGTTCAGAAATTTATTAAAATTCTGGTCAAAACTTCAATTATTATCTTTAGAAATAATAAAATTTTTCTCCGAAATTCAATTATTTTCAAAAATTTTATTAAAATTCTTGGTAAAATTTCAATTATTTTCAAAAAGTTTCAAAAGAAAAATTTCCAAAAGAATTCAATTATTTAAAAAAAAATTTAATAAAATTCTACGCAAACCTTTAATTATTTTCATAAAGAAATAAAAATTTCACGGGAATTCAATTATTTTCGTAAATAATAAAATTCTTCTTGGGGATTCAATTATTTTCATAAATAATAAAATTCTTCTTAGGGATTCAATTATTTTCATAAATAATAAATCTGAATTTTTCATAAATTTAACTAAAAATTCTGTGAAATTAATTTTTTTGAGAAAGTTTCATTAAGAATTTTTTTTTTTAAGTAATATATAAAGTTTTTATTTTCTAATATACATTTAATTGAAGAATTTACGAATAATTGAAATTTTGTAAAATTAAATTGTAATCATATGAATTTGAAAATTCTCAAAGAACTTTTTGAAAAATTATTAAAAATAATACATTTGTAGAAGAATTTTAGTTAAAAACACAAAAAAAAATTAATTTCGGAAAAGTTACAAATTATTACAGTAATTTAATTATTTTCATAAATAATAAAATATTTAACAGGGATTTTATTGTTTTCATAAATAATAAAACTCATCGCAGAATTTCATTTATTTTTAAAACAATAATTTTTATCGAATTTCTCGAAATTGTAATTATTATTTTTAAAAAATTTATCAATTTTGTCCAAAGAATTTAATTACTTAAGAATTTGTTGATAAAATTCCCTATGAGAATTGAATTTTAAGAAACATTCAATTATTCAATAAATTATTTATTTTTCTATTTATAATTGAATTGTAGTAGAATTTTCTAATAAAAATTGATTTAAAAATGAATTTTAGTTAAAATTTTAGATATTAATTGAATATTAAAAGCAATATAGCGTGAATTTTAAGAATATTAATTAAAAACACTAAAAAAAATATTTATTATTGAAGAAGTTACAAATAATTCAGAAATCCAATTATTTTCAAAAGTAATAAAATTCTTCGAAAAAATTCAATTATTTATTGAAAAATTTGAAAAAATTTTGGTCAAAATTTCAATTATTTCTTTTAAATAATAAAATTCTTTTCCGAAACACAATTATTTTCAAAAATTTTAATAAAATTCTTGATCAAAATTTCAATTATTTTTAAATTTCTTTTTCAATTCAATGCTTTCCAATATCTACTTTTTTAAATATAATTTTCCAATGGAATTCAATTATTTTCATGAGTTATAAAATTCTTTGAAAAATGCAATTATTCTTGAAAATATTTTACAATTTCAATTAAATTTCTTAAAAGAATTTAATTATTTTCAAAAATTTCTTAATGCCATTTTTCGTAACAATTTGAATTTTGAAATTTATTTTTTTGTAAATTATCATAGAACATTTTCGAAAATTATTAAAATTTATTGAAAGAAGAATTTTAGTTGAAAATTCTTGAAAATAATAATAATTGAATTGATGTGATGAAAAAATGTAATTATTCTTAAAAATTTTATTAAAATTCGTCGAAAGAATTAGATTATTTAAAAATTTGTTGATAAAATTCTTTATAAGAATTAAATTTTAATAAACATTCAATTATTCAATAAATAATTTACTTTTGTTTTTCTTGAAAGAATTTAATTATTTTCAAAATTTTTAATGACATTTTTCGTAACAATTTGAATTTTGAAAATTATCAAAGAACATTTTCGAAAATTATTAAAAATAATTAATTGAAAGAAGAATTTTAGTTAAAAATTCTTTAAAAAAATAATTGAATTGATAATGATTTTATCACTCGGTCATCTTTAATTATTATAAAACATGAAGAAATCGATGATTCCGAGTCGAAGACTCGGAGTTATCGATTTCTTAATGTTAAATTTAATTTATAGTTTTAAGTAAAATGTTCTATTATTTGACTCGGACTGATTATATTTTTCCAGTAATTGGTCCGTAATTTTTCATTGTTTAAACATAAAGTCCGTATTTTTTAATACTTTCACTGCTTCAAGCCCTGAAAATTCTGCTCTGTATGCAGTCAGAAAATTTTTTTTCACTTTTTCACTGAATCTGAATCAGTACCAAAATATTTGAATTAAATTGTCGAAAAACCTATGCAATTTCGATTATAATGTAGAGTATACATTGGAATCAAGGGATTTAAAAATCAAGTTGTGAGTAAGGATTTAACCTTCTGGAAGCACCTACTTTTCTAATGGCACATTGATTCGTGTCGACACAACTATTTTATAATTATAAACTAATTCCTCAGAAATGAGATGCGTCACGCTCTCTTTCCATATCCTTCGAATCAAAGAAATCACCATTATGAATAGTTTTTCTCGTGATTTACGCACAAAAGTGGAAATGGAAAGTTGAAAACAAGCGAATTTTCCCCATTAATTTATTCTTTTTATTTACATTCTATAAAATCCAGTGACCATTGAATATAAATCACAATTTTTTTTTCTTTATTTCTATTTCTTCTTCTATTAAGGAAACTTGTGTTTATATTTTTTTTTTAATTTGTATTTGGTATTCATATAAAAATATAAACATAAATACCAATACAAATACAAATAAAAAACAAAATACAAATACAAATAAAAAAACAAAATACAAATACAAATAAAAAAAACAAAATACAAATACATATAAAAAAACAAAATACAAATACAAATAAAAAAACAAAATACAAATACAAATAAAAAAAACAAAATACAAATACAAATAAAAAAAACAAAATACAAATACAATTCAAAAAATACAAAATACAAATACAATTCAAAAAATACAAAATACAAACACATGTTTCCTTTCGAAAAGAAATAGAAGTTATAACGAAAAAAAATTATTTTATTCTTATTTGTAAGCATTTAAAAATCGGAATTTTTTGAAACTTTTTTTTTCAACTAGTGATTGATTTGTGACTGCTTAGAAATTGAAAAATTTAATTTAAAATTCAATTGCCCATTAGTGTGAGAAATAGTCAACGAACCGATTACGTCAATTGACGTCAATTAATCAGAGAATGTGACAAAATAGGAGAGAGAATAAGAAAAAAAATAAATATGTTATTATATATATGTATATTTTCTTTTTAAATTTGGAAAAAAATGTATTTAAATTCATTCGATTTATGAGAAATTTTGTTATTTTGTACAATTCGAGTCAAGGTCGATGTTACTGTGTTTCAGGAACTTGCAAGTAATACGACATTGGAAGAGCTGAGGACCATAGCGTCGTACTACTTTAGCGGTCAGGGAAAAGCTTTGCGGCCGATGGTTTCAATCCTCATGGCGCGGGCTATCAATTACCACAAGGAAAGAAAGTGAGTCGTGCGGGCATTGCCTTCAATTGACACTCAAGGAATTCTCCGTTTTAAACTTGAACCGTAAATTTTACACGGTTTTTATTTATTTTATTTTATTTTTTTTTTTTTATTAACTTTCAGTTACAAGGAGTAGCACAGATTTACAAGATTTTTGTCTCTGATAAAATGTTATTACATTCTCATCGCATGAGAAAGTAATAAATTTTTTTAAATTTGTTTATGGGAAACGAATAATCGGGGATCGCAGTTGGTCGCCTTATTTTCCTTTATCCCTTTTTACCCCTTCTTTCCTTTTTACCCCTTTTTTGCTTATTTGCTTATTTGCCCCCTTTTCCCTCTTTACCCCCCTTTTTCTCTCTTTATTCTTTTTTCCTTTTTTTATTCCCCCAAATTAATAAAATTCTCTAAAACACCTAAAATTACGCTTATTGTCCCCCTCTCCCCTTTTTTGGAAGAAAAATTTACAAAACTTGTAAAAAAAATCAAAAAAAAAAATCTCAAAATTGCAAAAAAAGAGAAAAAATATGGCATTGTGGATTTTTAAATTTACGAAAGTGTCGACGATGAGTGATCTCACCTATAAAAAAAAGCTGTTTGAAAAAAAAGTCTCAAAAGAAAGTTTCAAAAAAGAGATCCAAAAAACAGGTTTAAAAAAAAATTGCCCCCCCCTGGAATTTTTTATTTCTGAAACAAAGACTAATTATTGTCTTTAATTTTTCGCAAATTGACAATAAACTTTCACCTGCTCTGTATTCCCGACTAGACTTTTAGTCAGAATGATAAAAATACATATATATCCAGATTGAATTCTTTGAATTACGTCCATCGTCATCAATGAAAATTATATATATTACTTGTTACTTTCACTTTCTTTAAAGAGGACCGATGTCGAGAGTGGCATCTGCTGTTTAAAATTCAGACTCTTTTGACTTGTGTGTGTATACTATTCGCACCACTTAATTGATCATCTTCAAAAATTTACTTGCATTTTTTTTTCCTTTTCTCCCTTCCATTAAGAATGAAAATTAATTTCTAAATCAGAATGGCCGCTGGACCGGGAAAATCGGGAACAAATTTTTCAATAATTGAATTCTTTTGACTAATTTTAAATTTTTAATATAATTTTTAAGAATAATTACATTTTTTTCATCATATGAATTCAATTATTATTTTCAAGAATTTTCAACTAAAATTCTTCTTTCAATCAATTTTAATAATTTTCAAAAATGTTCTATGATAATTTACAAAAAAATAAATTTCAAAATTCAAATTGTTACGAAAAATGTGATTAAAAATTTTTTGAAAATAATTAAATTCTTTTAAGAAATTTAATTGAAATTGTAAAATATTTTCAAGAATAATTGCATTTTTCGAAGAATTTTATAACTCATGAAAATAATTGAATTCCATTGGAAAATTATATTTAAAAAAGTAGATATTGGAAAGCATTGAATTGAAAAAGAAATTTGAAAATAATTGAAATTTTGATTAAGAATTTTATTAAAATTTTTGAAAATAATTGTGTTTCGGAAAAGAATTTTATTATTTAAAAGAAATAATTGAAATTTTGACCAGAATTTTTTCCAATTTTTAAATATAATTGAATTTTTGCGAAGAATTTTATTACTTTTGAAAATAATTTGATTTCTGAATCATTTGTAACTTCTTCAATATTAAATATTTTTTTTAGTGTTTTTATTTAAAATTCTTAAAATTCATGCTAAATTGCTTTTAATATTCAATTATTATCTAAAATTTGAACTAAAATTCATTTTTAAATCAATTTTTATTAAAAACTCATATGGAGTTTTATCAACAAATTCCCTAATTAAATTCTTTGGACAAATTTTAATAAATTTTTTAAGAATAATAATTACAATTTTGAGAAATTCGATAAAAATTGTTTTAAAAATAAATGAAATTCTGCAATAAGTTTTATTATTTATGAAAATAATTGATTTCCTGAAAAGAATATTATTATTTGCGAAAACAATAAAATCCCTGTTAAAAATTTTATTATTTATGAAAATCATTAAATTATTGCGAAGAAATTTATAAAAAATTTCTTAAATAATTGAATTCCTGTAAAATTTTCTTCTTAATTTTTGAAAAGAATTAAATGTTTACGTAGAATTTAATTAAATTATTTTTTAAATAATTGAATTCTTTTGGAAAATTTTATTAGAATAGTTGATATTTAAAATCATTAATGAATTGAAGACAATTTTTGAAAATAATTGAAAGTTTGCCAAGAATTTTATTAAAATTTTTAAAAATAATTGAATTTTGGAGAAGAATTTTATTATTTCTAAAAATAATTGAAATTTTGACTAGAATTTAAAAAAAATTTCTGAACACAGGGTGCCCGCTGGATCGGGAAAACCGGGAAATGACAGGGAATTTTTTTGGACCGGGATTTTGGACATTTTCTTTTAAATACACTGATCATTTTGTGAGAAAAAATAGAAATATTTATTTTAAGACTTATTAATTATATTTCATTAAAAAAGATTGAATGATCTTTTATAAACTCATTTTATTTTGTCAGGGAATTTTATCAAAAGTAATATAAAAATATTCAATTTCTAGAATTTATAAGAAAATTATGAATTTTGTTGTCCAACGTAACAGACTTAAAAAAAGAAAATATTAAATTTAATGTTACTATTATTATGCAAATTACAAAATTTTTATTTTCAAATATGATTTTTTGATTAATTCTAGACTCAAATTTAAAAAAAATTCAATTATTAACTAATTTACTAATTAATTATTCTTGTTTAATAATTTCTAAAATTTTAATTAATTTTTTGAAAAAATTCAATTATGTTTATAAATAATAAAATTCTTTGCAAAAATCCAATTTTTTTAAAAAAAAATTTCACGAAAGCTTTCAATTTTTTTCTTAATTCGATATAAAATCTTTGCAAAAATTTAATTATTTTCAAAAAAAAAATTGAAAGAATTCAATTATTTTCTAAAATTTTTATAAATCATTCGAAACAATTCAATTTTATTTATAAAAAGTAAAATTCTTTGCAAAAATTCAATTCAATCAACTATTTCTACCTATATTATAGATTGTTAAATTAATATTAATATAATATTAATATAGATTGAATTTTAAAAAGTTTCATACTGAAGTTTTAGAAAAGTTGAATTGTAAAAGATTTTAATTAAAAATTCTGAACAAGTTAGTTTTTTGAAACATTTTTATTCACATTTTTTTCAAATTAGTTATATTTTTAAATATATAATATTTAATGCAAAAACTCTCAAATTATTCAAAATCTCATGAAATTGTCTTGTAATCAAGTGGATTTTAGAAATATTTTAGTTAAAATTTCTAGAAAATAATTAAATTGAAATTTTGAAAATAATTTTTAATAAATTGCAGTAGCAATTCTTAAAAATTATTCGATTTTAAAGGATTTAAAATTTGAATTTTTTTTTAAATCTTCCTATGGAAAAATAATGAATAATAATTAAATATTTATTTCAAAAAATCTATTTAAGTTCCAAATGATTTTACAGTTAAAGAAATTCAAAAAAATGTATTATAAACATATTTTGGAGTTTCAATTATTTTTAGTCAACTAAAATATTTTTAGCGTTTGGAAAAAAGTCAAAGTTTTGTCTAAAAAGCAGGGAATTCTTTCAATCATTCATGGAATAATTTATTTTCAGAGTTATTCTTTATGACCGGGAAAAATAATTCATCACCGGGAAATGACTGCAAATTTTTTTTTATGAAAAAAGGGGCCACCCTGAATTTTTAAATTCAAATAAATTTTAAATTTCATTCCAAATCCAAATATTTAAATAATTATTTCTATCAAACGATGCAATTTTTTACTCTCTGAATTTAAATCAGTTAAAAATCATTATTTGAATTGACAATCAGTGACCGACATTTTGCTTCTAAATCACTAATTTTTAACTGATTCAAATTCAGAGAGCACAGAAGTGAAACAACTCCCAATCCACACAGATTTATTTCTCGCGATTTTGTTTCATTAAGCAAGACGTAAAATTCACAGCAGTTTCAAGTGACTCAAAAAATACATGAAATTTAAGAAGTGTCAAATTATTTTGTCGCTACTGAATGTAATCCAGTTTTTCGACTATATAGTAGGATGCAGAACAGGACGAAAATAAAAAAGAGAGCAAAGACCAATAATGTCGTTGACCGCAAAAAGTCATATTCAGTTTGAGGACACAAATACAAAAAAAAAGAAACAGAAAAGATTATGAAATCTGTATATAGAAATCTATCTTGCAATGGTATCAATTACGGTGCATAGTCTTGTTTAATACTTATGTAAGTATGGAGTGTGTTTGTGTGTTTTTGCACATGAGTGAACTAAACAACGTTCACTGAGAAACACAGCATCCATTACGTTGAGAGTTATTTGAACCGTAAACCCATTCGATAATGTCTTCATACCAGTAATAAATTATCAATAATTACGTGCCATCATAAAACTTTTTAAATATAATATTCTTGTTCAACTCGTGCTTTAACTTCAACTTGACACTTGAGCGTTCATCGACAATATTGTATGATGCGATATTATGCACTATTGTCCTTTCACTCAAAAAACTATATTGCTATTTTCTAATAATCATAAAACTTGTTATGTTGTCTGTAACAATGACAAAATGTTGCGACTATTGTATTGATTGATTACCTTCACAGTAAATCGTGAGGTATTAAAAAGTGTTGCTTGTTGCAGATGAAATTAACACCAAAAAAGATTAAAATAATCAATTTTGGTGTTTTTTTACAATTAATGAAATTTTAGTTTATTAAATATTTGTATAACTATAAAATATGAAGATATCGATAACTCCGAGTCTTCTACTCGGAGTCATCGATTTCTTCATATTTTATAATAATTAAAGATGACCAAGTAATAAAATCATTATTTTATATTATAAGAATATTATACTTCTTCACAATTTCATTATTATTATTTTCATTATTTCAATTCAATTATTATTTTCAAAAATTTAAAACTACAATTTTACTTTATATCTATTATTTTTAATAATTTCCGAAAAAGTTCTTTGGCAATTTTCAAATACATTTCTTTACAATATTCAATTTCACGAAATTTCAATTATTCATAAATTCTTTAATTTACTGCATATTAGAAAATAAAAACTTCAAATAAATATAAAAGAAAATTCAATTAAACTTTTTCAAAAAAATTAATTTCAAAATTTAATTATTTCTAAAAATTCACACTTTATTGCTTTTAATATTTAATTATAATCTAAAATTTTAACTAAAATTCATTTTTATGAAATGAAAATCAATTTTTATTAGAAAATTCTACAAGAATTTAATTATTTAAATGCAAAAGTAAATAATTTATTGAATAATTGAATGTTTCTCAAAATTCAATTCTTATAAAAAATTTTAGTAACAAATTTTTAAATAATTGAATTCTTCTGTCGAATTTTATGCAAATTTGCATGAACATAATTAATTTTTTTCAAGGAATTTAATTATAATTGTATGAAAAATAATTGAAACGCTACAATGAGTTTTATTATTTATGAAAATAATTGAATTATTGCGAAGAAATTTATAAAAAAATTTGTAAATAATTGAATTCCTTTAAGAATTATTATTATTTATGAAAATAATTGAATATTAATAATATTGAAAGTTTAAAAAAAAAGTTGCAAATAAACAGATTCAAAATTAGTTGAAAATAAAAAATTACAAAGGAAAAATTAGAAAATTTTCTTCTAAAACTTTTCTTTTCAAGCATTTTCTTTGCAATTATTTCTTGAATGAAAAAATCGTCATTTCAAGCAAAAAGAAAAAAATCGTTAGTCATTTACTAGAAACCGGATCGGTTATGTATCTTAACTAGAAAATCGGTTCAATTTTTGCTCGATTTTCTATTTACTCTCGTTTTCTTTATTTTTTCCCAGTGATCTCTTGCCGTCACAACGACAGGTGGCAATGATAGCAGAAATGATCCACAGCGCATCCCTCGTTCATGACGATGTGATCGATCAATCAGACTTTCGCCGCGGGAAGCCATCCATTAACGCACTTTGGAGTCAAAAGAAGGTGAGAAATAATGATTTAGCTAAACTTCACTTTTATTTTAACAATATTTCACCAATTAATTTAAATTTAAATTTTGGACATGTTCCTTTGTGTGTCAACTTGGATTTTTAAAATCCATTTATTTTAAAAAGTTAAAAACCTGGAAATGTCAGGAAATTTTGATCGAAATCCTGGAAAATTGTTGTTTTCTAAAGTTATTGTGTTTATTCTTGAAATCTAATTTCACTTAAATATTTCAAAATTAATTCAATTTTAAAAGAATTGTCTTTACAATTTTCATAAGTAGATAAACTTCAAAAGATTTTGATTTGGAATTTTGTAAAATTTCAATTTGAAATCAATTTAATTAGAAATATAAAAAACTTAGATTTAAAAAAATCTTTTAAAATAAAATTCGTAGAATTTTCTAATCAATATTGATTCAAAAATGAATTTCAAATTAAAATCTTTAAAAATTTGAACTTTTCATACTTTTAATTAAGAATTCTGAAGAATTAATTTTTCTCAATTAAGTTTGATGGAATTTTTTTTAATTATTTAAAGTTTTTAATTTCTAATATATTTAATTGAAGAATTTCAGAATAATCGAAATTTCGTAAAATTAAATTGTAAACAAAAGAATTTGAAAATTTACAAAGAATTTTTTCAAAAATTATTTTGAAAAAATTGATTTGAATTTGTGTGTGTGTGTGTGTGGATCCCGATTTTTGTGAACACGATAACTCGAAGAGGTTTTAACGAATTTGGCTAAAATTTACCAGGTATATTTATCATAAAAATATCTCGAAATGGATTGGTAGACTTTAAAAGATTCTCAAAAAAAATTTTTTTTTGACTTTTTTCTAAAAAATTTTTTTTTCAAAAAAATTTTTTTAAGTTGTTTATTGAAGTTAATATATAATAAAATCTTATTCTTTGCATCAAGACGAATCGATTGAGATATAAGAAGTATAAATTGTATGAGAATTTATAGAGTTAATCACAATTAAAGCTGAAAAAATCGCATTTTTATCAAAAAAATGAGTTCTTTCCGCAAAATTATGTTGCTGTGTAAGAAAATCTTACTCATTTATTTCTAAAATCTTATTCATTACACCCCGACGGATCGATTGGTATATATAAAGTATATGTTTTATTTAAATTTATAGAATTAAAACCAATTATAGACAAAAAATTTGCACTTTTAATAAAAATTCATTTTTTCTTAAAAATCATGTTGCTGTACAATAGAATGTTATTATTTATTAAAAAATAAATCAAAAATCTTATTCTTTGCATCAAGACGAAACGATTGATGTATATAAAGTATATATTCTATTGAAAATTATAGAATTAATTACAATTACAGTTGAAAAATTCACTTTTTTACTAAAATTTTTTTGTTTAGTTAAATTCATATTACTGTATAAGAAAATTTTATTGTTTTTATTAAGAGGAATGAACTTTATTTTATAAATGTTAAATTGTATTTAAAATGATTTAAAAATGAAATATATTTATCGTTAATGCTTCCTTCACGAGGAAGCAAATTTTTTTTGCTGATCGTAAAGAGGAAGCAAAATGTTCATGTAATGAACATCTGGATTTACAACTTGTTTTTTAATATTATTCTAAGTTTTTATTTTCTAATATGCATTTAATTGAAGAATTTAGGAGTAATTGAAATTTCGTAAAATTGATTATTGGATTTGGAAATTGTCAAAGAACTTTTTCGAAAATTATTAAAAATAATTGATTGAAAGAAGAATTTTAGTTAAAAATTCTTGAAAATAATAATTTAATTGAAATGATGAAAATAATTTTGTACTCTCTAAATTTGAATTAGTAAAAATGTTTACTAATTAGAATTAATGACTGACTTTTTGCTTTTGAATTAGTAAATTTTACTAAAAAATGAGTAGAAATAACTATTTATTAGTAAAATTTACTAATTCAAAAGCAAAAAGTCAGTCACTAATTCTAATTAGTAAACATTTTTACTAATTCAAATTTGGAGAGTAGAAGTAAAATGTTTTTATAAAATAAAATAATGATTTTATCACCAAGCTATCTTTAATTATTATTATGTTATTGAATTTCAAATTTTTTAATATCTTAATTTAAAAAAAAATAATGATTAAATATATGGGGGATTTCAGGGGAAGTGATCCGGCCTCATGCGTTTACACGTCATACTTTGATGACTTGTAGTTTGCTTTAAAAAAAAGATGTAAATTAGATAAAATATGTTTTGGAAAGGGGTTTTCGTGTACTTTTAAATAAAGATGTTAGTTTTTAAAAAAAAAATTTTTTGACCTTGAAAATTCAAAATTAAAATTTCATTTTCATTTTTTTGTACAATCGGTATTTTAAAAAAATTTTTTTTTTATTTAGAATGAAAGCTGAGCTCTTTTCCTATCAAAAACATATCTGCCCAAAATGGGACTAGAATTATGAATTCTAGTTAATTAATTTTACAAAAAAATGAAAATTAAATTTTAATTTGGAATTTTCAAGGTCAAAAAATTTTTTTTCTTCAAACTAAAATCTTTATTTAAAAGTACACGAAAACCCCTTTCCAAAACATATTTTATCTAATTTACATCTTTTTTTTAAAGCAAAGTACAAGTCTTCAAAGTATGACGTGTAAACGCATGAGGCCGGATCACTTCCCCTGAAATCCCCCATATATTTAAAAATGAAGTTATTGATGTTTTCGAATAGTTTTCTTTTAAAAAACCTGGAAAACCTGGAAAAGTTAGGGAATTTGAAAAGAGTAAAAGCTCTTTTGTTCTTTTTTTCAATAAATATTTCTGATTCTAGCCAACACGATAGCCAATATAATTCAGATAATTATATTTATTTATGCATATTTATAAAAAATATGTTTTTATATAAATAAACTGCACAAATGTGCATATACCCTAAACTTCCTTGAGAGTCATGTTTCGAGTTCAAGTTCTTGCTCTCGATTGGCGTAAACGGCACTGTGCACTGTGTCGATGCTGAATAAGTGATCGATGAAATCTTGATGAAATGCGAACTCTCTCGCCCGTCCGGAATGCGACGGAGAAGGAGGTTAATGTGATTCGAGTACATGTGAACCAAACACTCACGTGAATCACGGTCGCGAATCCGCACATATAGACTGCACTGACTGTGTATTGTACTTTCTTTGTGGATCCGGAAGTGAATGGTAACTTGGTAGCACTTCACTCTCGAATCGTAAATCGCTTCTTTGCATTTGGAGACGACCGCGCACGCATAAAAAAAAGAAATTCATTTTGCAAAGTAATGGTCAGTTTATTCCAATTTTTTTTTTTATTTTATTTAAGAGCAAACCTCGCAGATATTATGACTTTCGATTTTTTTCGACTATTTTCAGAAAAAGCAATTTTTTTTTACTTATTTTCAAAAATTGCGACTTTTTCGCTTTTTCATCCAAATATTGCAATAAAATATTACAATTTTTAGGATAAAATGTATAACTAATTTCGATTTTTATAGAGGGGAAAATAACTAGATAAATCATTCCAAAAATTATTTTTGAATAATTTTTCTAATTCAATTTTCGAAATATACAATTAAACAGATTTTGAAAAATTGAAATTTTTCAACATTTAATTAAAAGTAATTATTTTTTTCAAGCGTTTTGTTTAATTTTTTGAAAATCAACTTTTGACGAATTTTAATTGCAATTTTTGAAAATAATTTAATTATCAAAAAAGGTTAATGAAAAATCTTCAAGTGTAAATTTAATGAAAGTGAAAATTAATGAAAATTAATTTCTAAAAATTATATTAAAATAGATTTGAAAAAAGTAATTTTTAGAATTTTTTGCATTCTAATTTTTTAACATTCAATTATTTTCAATATTTTCGAAAATTCAAATACATACAAAAAATAGTATTATTAACATTTTTCAGAATTATTTTTAACATTTGGAAAACATTTATGTTCAAAATTTTTAATCGAAATTCTTCAAAAAAAAAAAATAAATTCAAAATAATAAAAAAGGATTTGTTTGATCCCGTGTATGTTTTGAAATAAATAAATAAATAAATTAGTTTTCTTTAAATTATATAAAAATGCTTTTAAGAAATTCAATTATTTTCGGAAAATTATAATATTTTTAAAAAACTAATTGTTTTATCTTAATTTAGGATTCAATTGTCTTCAAACAAAGTAAATTAAAATTTTTTGAAATTTACTTCCTTATTAAAATTTCAGAAAAATAAATTGATTATTTTTTTCAATAATTTTTAAAAAAATTCAATTTTTTTAAAAAGATTTTACCAAATTTCAATTGTTTGGAAATTTTTCAATTCTCAAAAATTTTAATGAAAAATCTTCAAGTGTAAATTTTATAAAAGTGAAAATTAATAAAAAATAGCTTCTAAAAATTATATAAAAATATTTTTGTAAAAAGTAATTCTTAGAATTTTTTATTCCAATTTTTTTAAAATCCGATTATTTTCTATATTTTCAATGTAGGTACAAATTTCCGAAAATTCAAATACGAACAAAAAATAATAACATTAACATTTTTTACCATTATTTTTAACATTTTGGAAAAAATAATCATGTTCAAAAATTATAATTAAAATTCTTTAAAAAATTAATTAGTTTTCCTTAAATTATACAAAAATTCTTTTAAGAAATTGAATATTGTTTTCAAAAAATTATGTTACAATATTTTTAAGAAACTATAATTCTCTTAATTTTTTAAGATTTAATTGGCTTCGGACAATGTAAATTCAAATTTTTTGAAATTTTAATTTTAATTTTTTTAGACTTTTTAAAATTTTGGAGAAATAATTTTTTCATATTTATAATTAAAATTCTTCAAAAATTTCATTATTTTTTACGTTTTTCAAATATTAAATTATTTTTAAAGGAATTTTATCAAATTTTAATTGTTTGGAAATTTTTCAATTCTATATAATTGAAAATCAACATTTAAAGAATTTTTATGTTAAATTTTCAAACAATTGAATTCTGAAAAATTTGATTGAAAAATT